CCCCAAGGCATTCCGAGGTAGTGATGGGGGTAATAGGCGGATGCTCCCGGTTCGAGCCTCTCCTGGTCTCAATAGGTTTCTGAAGGGCAGTAAGCTTGATGGTGATGAGCAGGATACTCCTCAGGTCTTGGGAGCCCAGAAGGAAGGTGAGGCCTCTAGGTAAGGTCTTGCCGGACAAGTTGATGAAGGACCGTGTGTTGGGGAGAAGCTGATGGAGTGGCAGAAGTAACAGGAGAGGAGGGTTGCCCCTAACCCAGTGGGGGATTGGCTGAAGACAGGGGATGGGGGTGGCCCCGGAGTTTGAGGTTGTTCTCATCAGATGACAGGGAAGGAGTCTTGGTGATGCCTTGCGGGGGGGAACAGTAATCTGTGGGTTTTTGTAGTGGGGGGGCCAAGGTCTTCGAGGTCAATCCTTCAATCTTGAAGATTTTGAGCTGGAGGGCTTGGAGGGTGATGAAGAGGGAGTGGGCTTGGGGGGTTGGAGCCAGTAGCGCATTGCAGGATGGATCGCTATGAGCCGGGACCCGAAGGGAGGCTTTCCCAGAGGTACACTTTTAGGTGGTCCAGCTGGTGTTTAATAAATGTTCTGTCTCCTATCAACAGCTGAAAGACGGGGAAATTTTCTTTCTTTCTTTGGACTACAATTCCATTTTATGGGATCACAATAGTTCTTCACCACAGTTCCTAGTTCCAAAGGGGTCCCTTGCATAGCTCTTTCTGACACATACTGGGCCACCGTTACCTGCTAGCTGCTGCTGCAAGGCTGCCCTTTCATTCTGGAGGCTTCTGATCTCCAGGTCCTTGGCTGGAGTCTTCAAATGTGCCTTTGCCAGAGCATCTGTACCAATGTGCCATAAAGAACCCAGAAAACACAAGAAGAAAGCTGGAAAACTGACTACATCGTTTGACAGATTGTTTACAAAAATAACTTGTTTTTCTAAGTGAGTTTTTACCGGTGTTTTAGTTTCATGAACTTAACTGGAATGTCAAAAGTTATTTTTAAACAAGTTATTTCTTTATTTATTTAAAATAGTTTTACTGTGCCTTTCTCATGAAAAAGACCCAAGACAGGTTACATCATATAAAGTATATAAATATTTAAAAAATGAATTCCTACAAGTATTATATTAAAAATGGCAAATAAAATCAATAGTACAAAAATTTAAAAACAACAGAGCAGAATTATAAGAGTTGAAAAAAGTTTCATGTTTTTTGCTTATTGTTTTGACTTCTATATTGCCCGACAGTACCTCTGCATGGTTTGCAATATAGTTATGCAAAGAACACTTTGCATCAAATCTACATCAACAATTTAACAAGACATTGAACAAGCAAACCCAAGCATGAAACTTTTCCACATTAAATGCCAGCTTTGGTCACACTGCATTTCAAAATGCTTCATCCTTGCAGCTTTTTAATGTAATTAATCCTCGTATTACTCTTGAAATGTACAAGAGACTGGAAGCTAATCCTGTTCTGTAAGTCCCTGCACTTCTGCTGCACAGCTAGAGATTTTTAACAAAAATTTCAAAGCTCTGCAACAAAAAAAGTGAAAATAGGAGTAAGGACGGTAAGAACTGGAAATCACATTCGAAGAAGAGAAGCATTCTAAAGGGAGCAAAAAGCACTGAAAACAGGGTGCAGAATAACCCTGCAGGACACACACACTGCCCACTGGCCACATGTGATAACCTACACTGACATAATGGGATTTCCTTCTATAGCCAGGCATTCTATACCTATGCAGTATCCTTTTCTTTGCTGTAATTTCATCTGACCCCAGACTAAGCTGTGGCAGAAGCAAGGGTTCAAACTGAGCGGCAGGCTAGCCAAGGGTCCAGGAGTCCCACTTTCTCCTCCAAGGCAAAATCTGCAAGGCTTCGAGGCAGCCGGTGCAGCTACAGGAAGGACATACCTTGCAGCTTCTGGCTCAACTCCATCTTCTCCCGTTCCAGATGGCAGATCTTCTTCTCCAGCTTCCCTGTGCTAGAGGTGCTGGAGGGAGAGGCTGCAGGCTGCTTCTCCAACAGGAGGCTTGTAAGAAAAGCAAGAGGCAATGAAGGTCAGGGCCCTCAGCCCCTTGGCAAACAAAAAGGCCCTGCCAGGCTACACAAACTGGGTGGGCCTCAGGATGAAGTGAACCATGACAACTGAGATATGATTCTTCATATCTGTTATGTGATACAATGTGGGGTCACAGTCAGAGTGTCAGGCAAGTCCTAGCGAGATCCCATAAGGGCCAGAACTTGGCTTTCTATGGAGGGATCATGCGGCTGCTTTTTCTATTTTCTCAAAATTATACATCACTGGTAAATTGTTCCATTGCCAAGCAAGGAGCTTACAAACATAGATGCATACATACATACATACATACATACATACATACATACATACATACATACATACATACATACATACATACATACATACATACATACATACATACATACATACATACATACATACA